TTTGCAGGAGCGGCTATTGGACCGTAGAAGCGGAAATCGGGGCTGGGCAGTGAGGGTTCTTTAAGAACAGGGTTTTGGCCCATTTGCTTCCATTCTCTCTTGGTTGGGCAATTTTTGGAGAGCTTCAAGTGTGGGTTTTTCATCAACTATGCCAAGGTAAGTTATTCCCATCCATTACAAGATAAATAAATGGTTTTTATATAGATTCAAGCATGAATATTTGTAGAAATTTGGGCTTTTGAAGGAACTAAGGGAAATTTGGGGTTTTGAAGAAATTTGGGGTTTTGTAAGAGGTAATTAACCCCATATGCGAATTGAATTAAAATGTGCTTCTATTTGTGGGGGCTACGTACGCACGAGGTGACGAGAGTCCGTACGTAGCTACTAATTATGCTATTGTCCGGGCAGTCTAGGACCCATACCATGCTATACTTACAATGTTGTACCCTACTTGTTAATTTAATTACTTAAATCATATTGGAACTTGATAAAGGAATTGTAAAAGATTAAACTTCATTTTGTTTTTTTGATCGTTAATGGGAATTGGTATTTCCTTGAATAATTTCCCCTAAATAAATCTTGAATTGGTTGTTGTAAATGTATTTTCTCTTTTGTGGAGCGGGCTGAATGCCTTGGTAGCAAATAGATGCATCTATGGTTCGTGTTGTTCGACCCTCGGCATTGCACAATTTAAATATTATGTTGGATCGGGCCGTAAGACCTCCGTATAATTTGAGCATGATAAATCTTTGGAACCAATTATAATTGATATTGCTTCTTTGGCTTGATATATAAATTGTTGAATGACGAGAATAAGTTTGGAAAACTTTCCTATTAATAAAAGAATTGTCCACTCACTTGTTGTTATTAAGTTTACAGATGTTTCATACAATCCATGCTTAAGTATAATATCGGTATTTATTGTTACCACATAGTAAGTGTCGGAGTTGACCCCTCGTCACTACTTCTTCGAGGTTAGAGAGGATACTTACTGGGTACGCGTTGATTTACGTTCTCATACTACACTTAATGCACATTTTTGTGCATGTACATATATGTCTAGTGACTTTGTGGGCGTAGAGGCGCGGTTATTGCGGAGATTTAGGTGAGCTGCATTCTATACAGCGATCTGCAACCAGCAGAGTCTCCTTCAGAGTTATTTATATCTTTCCTGCCTAATTTGTATTCCGGATAGATGTTGTATTTTATTTTACTCCCTAGTTAATGCTCATGCACTTGTGACACTGAGTTTTGGGAGTGGTTATGGGTTGTTTAGTATTTTAGTTGTTGAAATATTATCATTTACTCTGTAAGTCCTATCTTTTACTATTTAATTGAAGGAAATTACGATTTGAAAATACGAAAATGAGTAATCAAGTTAATTAATTATCGTTGGATTGCCTGACAGCGGTGTTAGGCTCCATCACGACCTTTAAAGGATTTTGGGTCGTGACACCTGGAGTCTCAAATAGGTGTGGATACTTTCTTCTCATCTCCTACTTAATCTCCCAAGTAGCTTCTCCGTTTGGCTGGCCTCTCCACTATACCTTCACTGATGCTATGTTCTTTGACCTCAGCTTTCGAACCTGTCGGCCTAAAATAGCCACCGGCTCCACATCAAAAGTCAAAGTACCGTCCAACTGCACTGTACTAAAATCCAAAATATGAGACGGATCCCCAACATACTTTCGGAGCATGGATACATCGAACACTGGATGAACACTTGATAGACTAGGGGGCAAAGCAAGTTCATAAGCCACCACTTCAATCTTCTTAAGCACCTCAAAAGGCCCAATATACCGAGGGCTCAACTTGCCCTTCTTCCCGAACCTTAACACATGTTTCATGGGGGAAATCTTGAGCATAACCTTCTCCCCAACCATGTAAGCAACATCACGGACTTTCCTGTCGGCATAACTCTTTTGTCTAGACTACGCCGTGCGAAGCCGCTCCTGAATAAATTTAACCTTCTCCAAAGCATCCTGAACTAAGTTAGTACCCAATAGCCTAGCCTCACCCGGCTCAAACTAACCCACCGGAGACCGACACCGTCTCCTATATAAAGCCTCATACGGAGCCATCTGGATGCTTGATTGGTAGCTGTTATTGTAAGCAAACTCTGCCAGTGGCAGAAACCGATCCCAAGAACCCCCAAAATCAATGACATAAGCGCGTAACATATCCTCCAATATTTGAATAGTGCGCTCGGACTGTCCGTCCGTCTGAGGGTGAAATGATGTACTCAACAGAACCTGTGTGCCCAATTCTCGTTGCACTGCTCTCCAAAACTGTGATGTAAACTGCGTGCCCTGATCTGCAATGATGGACACAGGCACACCGTGTAGGCGAAAAATCTCGCGGATATAAATCTCAGCCAACCGCTCCAAAGAATAAGTAGTACAAATTGGAATAAAATACGCGTACTTGGTCAACCGATCTACAATCACCCAAACAGCATCAAACTTCCTCAAAGTTCGTGGAAGCCCAACTACGAAATCCACGGTAATACGCTCCCATTTCCACTCCAGAATTTCAAATCTCTGAAGCAATTCTCCTGGTCCCTGATGCTCGTATTTCATATGTTGACAATTTAAACACCGAGCTACAAACCCAACTATATCTTTCTTCATTCGCCTCCACCAATCGTGCTACCTCAAATCATGATACATCTTCGCGACATCTGGATGAATGGAGTACCGCAAACCGTGAGCTTCCAGGAGAATCAACTCACGGAAACCATTTACATTAGGCACACATAACCTGCCCTGTATCCGTAATACACCGTCATCTCCAATAGTAACTTCTTTTGCACCATTGTGATGAACCATGTACTTAAGGACAAACAGATGGTGATCATAATACTGGCGCTCTCTGATGTGATTATATAAAGAAGGTTGAGAAACCACACAAGCCAAAACTTTACTCGGCTCGGAAATATCCAATCTAACAAACTGGTTGGCCAAGGCCTGAACATCCAAGGCTAAAGGCTTTTCTGCTACCGGTAAGTATGCTAAGCTGCCCAAACTCTCCGCCTTACGACTCAAGGCATCGGCTACCACATTGGCCTTTCCGGGATGATAAAGAATAGTGATATCATAATCCTTAAGCAATTCTAACCACCTCCGTTGCCACAAATTAAGATCCTTTTGTTTAAACAAATGTTGTAGACTACAGTAATCGGTATAAACCTCCCAATGGACACCGTACAAATAATGTCGCCAAATCTTCAAGGCATGAACAATAGCTGCTAACTCAAGGTCGTGGACCGGTTAACTCTTCTCATGTACCTTTAACTGTCTGGATGCATAGGCAATCACCCTACCGTCTTACATCAGCACTACGCCGAGACCAATACGCTATGCTTCATAATACACAGTATAAGACCCTGAACCTGTAGGCAACACCAATACTGGAGTTGTAGTCAAAGCTGTTTTGAGCTTCTGAAAGCTCTATTCATATTCATCCAACCACTTGAACAGAGCATCTTTCTAGGTCAGTTTAGTCATAGGCAATGCAATAGACAAGAAACCTTCCACGAAGCGACGATAATAACCGGCCAAGCCGAGAAAACTCCGAATCTCAGTAACTGAAGATGGTATGTGCCAACTCTGAACTGCCTCTATTTTCTTCGGATCCACCTTAATCCCTTCACTGGACACTATGTTTCCCAAGAATGCCACCGAACTAAGCCAGAATTCATATTTAGAAAATTTGGCATATAGTTTCTCCTCTCTCAGCCTCTGCAATACAATACCAAGTGTTGTGCATGCTACTCCTGGCTATGTGAGTACACCAGGATATCATCAATAAATACCACGACAAATGAGTCAAGATACGGATGGAATATGCTATTCATCAGGTGCATAAATGTTGTTGGGGCATTGGTTAGCCCATATGACATCACAAGAAATTCATACTGACCATCACGAGTCTTGAATGTCATTTTTAGAATATCTGAATCATGAAATTTCAACTAGTGATACCCCGATCTCAAATCAATTTTGGAGAATACCCTCGCTCCATGAAGTTGGTCAAATAAATCATCGATACACAACAAAGGATATTTGTTCTTGATTGTACTTTATTCAGCTGTCTGTAATCAATGCACATCCGTATAGTACCATCTTTATTTTTCACAAACAAAACTGGTGTACCCCAAGGTGACACACTAGGCCTAATAAACCCCTTATCAAGAAGTTACTGAAGTTGCTATTTCAATTCTTTTAACTCAGTTGGTGCCATACGATATGGAGGAATATAAATGGGCTGAGTGCTCGACATCAAGTCAATACCAAAATTAATATCCCTGTCGGGCGGCATACCCGGCATATCTGTAGGCAATACATCCGGAAAGTATCTCACTACCGGTGCTATAATGACCCGACTGGTCATTTTACTTTCTAGAATCCCATTCCCATAAATATGACTTCCCATACTTTCTTTTAATGCTTTATGACTTGCAGGGATGTTTAGTTCGGGATTTGGAAGGGTTCGGGTTGAAATCGGAACACTTAGTTCCTTATGTTGGCCTAAAAGATTAAGTTTGACTTCAGTCAACATTTTTTAGTAAACGACCTCAGATTTGAGATTTGATGGTTCCAATAGGTTCATATAATGATTTTGGACTTGGGCTTATGATCGGATCGGGCTTTGGATGACCCGGAAGCATTTTGGCGCCTAATAGTGAAAGTTGGTTCTTGAAGGTTTTAGAAGTTCTTTAAATTTGGTTGGGAGTGGGTTTTGATGATATCAAAGCCCAAATGGAATTACGAGATCAGAAATAGTTTCGTAATGTTATTTAAGACATGCACGCAAAATTTTGGGTCATTCCGAGTAGTTTAAGTATGTTTCAGTGCATTCGAAGTAAATTGCAGAACTTGAGGTTCTTAAGTTTGATTCAATTAGTTTTAGGGTGTGATTCTTAGTTTTAATGTTGTTTCGAGCGTTCTGAGAGTTTGAGTGAGTCTGGTTTATAATTCTAAACTTGTTGGTATGTTCAGGTGGAGCCCCGGGAGCCCCGAGTATCGATCGGACGAGGCTCGGACCAAGTTGGGAGCATGGAACCATAGTTGAAGCTCCCAGATCTGTCATAATCGCACATGCGCTTGGCCAGCCACAGGTGGGCACTCACAAGTGCAAGCCACGAGCCGCAGAAGTGAGAGATCAAGGGCAGCCCAAGAACCGCAGATGCAAAAGATTGGGTGCACCTGCGCGAACGCAGGTGCGAGAGCTTTGGTCGCAGGTGCGACTAGGCCCGTAGAAGCGGCCCCTTCTGTCCGCAGATGCGGAGACTAGCCAGGTGAGGAAAAGGCGCACCTGGGAAGCATTTTCCGCAGGTGCGAGACCGCAGAAGCGGCCAAGGCACCGCAGGAGAAAGTCGCTGGGCAGTGAGGGTTCATTTAATACGGACTCAGGCCATTTTTATCACATTTTCTCTCACTCTTGGGCGATTTGAGAGCTTTGAAGGAGGGGATTTCTACCTAGATTTGTGAGGTAAGTAATTTCTACTTAATGTGAGATAATACATAGATTATGGGTAGATCTTAACATGAAAATTTGTAGAAATCATAGGTTAGATGAAAAACCTAGGTTAGGATTAAAATGGAATTTTACCACGAAAATGATTATGGAACTTAGTAAAAATCATAGATTATGGGTAACAACTTTCTTCGAAACTTTCCATAATCCGGGCACATGGGCCCGGGGTGAATCTTAGGAATCCTGCATTTAGGGTTGGGAAATTTCCTTAATAGCAAGGGGTATGAACTATTAAGCGTAAATTGATTGATTTATATAATGTTTGACTAGTTTCGATTCATTTGGCATCAAATTTGGAGGTTTGAGCACGTTCTTGAATCGGGAAGTGGGCTTTGAGACGAGGTAAGTCTCATTTCTAACCTTGTAAGAGTGAATAGACTTTACCCTCCGGTCTTTGGGGGTGAGCGAAATGAGGATCCTCGGGATTTTATTGATAGGTGCAGGGACAGACTGCACAACGTGAGGATATTGGAGTCTCACGGGGTGGATTTCACTACCTTCCAGTTGGAGGGTAGAGCACGTAGGTGGTGATAGTCTTATCCTCTTGGTAGACCAGCAGATTCTCCTCCCATGACTTGGGGCCAGTTCACACGCCTATTCCAGGGAGTTCAGAGGTTCCCCAGCTAGGGGCAGAGGACAGTTCAGGAGGAGTCAGCCTAGTAGGCCCCCATATCCAGCACCTCCGCCTCCACGGGGTGATCCAGTGCGACCCTATTTCAGTTCCATGCCAGAGAGTTCATAACGCCCACCAGCTATACAAGGTCCTTCCAGTGGGTACTCCGGTCATCAGGGTTCTTCTAGTGCTTACTTCAGTGCCATGCCAGAGAGTTCATAACGCCCACCAGCTATACAAGGTCCTTCCAGTGGGTACTCCGGTCATCAGGGTTCTTCTAGTGCTTACTTCAGTGCCATGCCAGAGAGTTCATATTGCCCACCAGCTACTTAGGGTTCTTCTGGTGGGTATTCAGGCCATCAGGGTTAGACTTTAGGGCAGCAGATCACCGCGCTAAGAGGTTGTTTTGAGTGCAGGGATCTTAGTCATGTGCGGAGATTTTGCCCCAGGCTTCGGGGCAAGGCAGTGCAGCAGGGCCAGCAGCCCATGATTTCAGCTCCAGTAGTCGTACCAGCCATACAGCTGCCCAGAGGTGGAGGGCGGGTGGGTAGAGATTGTCTCATAGGTAAAGGTCAGGCAAGCGGAGGCCATGCGGGGGGCGCTCCAGCCAGATTTTATGCTTTTCCGGCCAGACCAGATACAATGGCCTCAGATGTCGTGATCATAGGTATTATCTCTATCTTTGGTAGGGATGCTTCAGTATTATTTGATCCAGGATCTACCTATTCGTATGTTTCATCCCTGTTTGCTCATTTTATAGAGATTCCTCGCGAGTCCTTGGGTACTCCTGTTTATGTGTCCACTTTTATGGGCAATTCTGTGGTTGTGGATAGGATCTATTAGTCCTATGTGGTCACATTCTGTGGTTATGAGACTAGAGCGGACCTTCTGTTACTTGATATGACCGACTTTGAGGTCATCCTGGGCATGGACTGGTTATCCCCATATCACGCCATCCTTGATTTCCATGCCAAGACTGTTACCTTAGCGATGCTAGAGTTGCCTAAATTTGAGTGGAAGTGTTCGTCTGTCAGTACGTCTAGTCGGGTTATCTCTTTTCTGAAGGCTCGACATATGGTCGAGAAGGGTTGTTTGGCTTATCGAGCCTATGTTCGGGATATCACCGCAGAGTATCCGGCGATTGATTCAGTGCCAGTAGTTTGGGAGTTCGCCGATGTGTTTCCTTATGACCTTCCAGGCATGCCACCAGATCACGATATTGATTTCTGTATTGACATAGCTTTGGGTACTCAACCTATACCCATCCCACCATACCGTATGGCTCTGAAAGAGTTGAAGGAACAGTTTGAGGAGTTACTAGCAAAGGGGTTCGTCAGGCCGAGTGTATTACCTTAGGGTGCACCAGTGTTATTTGTGATGTGCATTGATTATCGCCAGTTGAACAAAGTTACCATTAAGAACAAGTACTCGTTGCTGCGTATTGATGATTTGTTTGACCAGTTGCAGGGTGCTAGGGTGTTTTCTAAGATCGACTTGAGATCGGGATACCATCAGTTGAATATTCGGGTTTCAGATATTCCGAAGACTGCCTTCCATAATAGATATGGCCATTATGAGTTTCTAGTGTTGTCCTTTGGCTTGAACAATGCCCCAGAGGCGTTTATGGATTTGATGAATAGGGTGTTTAAGCCTCATATTTATTCCTTTGTTATTGTCTTCATTGATGACATCTTGATTTAATCACGTAGCATGGAGGAGCGCAAGCAGCATTTGAGGGTGGTGCTTCAGACCTTGCGGGAGTAGAAACTATATGCTAAGTTCTCCAAATGTGAGTTTTGGTTAGATTCCGTGGCATTCTTGGGGCATGTGGTATCAGGCGAGGGCATTAAGGTGGATCCCAAAAAGATCGAGGCAGTTCAGAGTTGGCCTCGTCCTACTTCGGTGACTGAGATTAGGAGTTTCTTGGGGTTATCAGGGTATTACCGCCGGTTCGTGGAGGGCTTCTCATCTGTTGCAGCACCTTTGACTAGATTGACCCAGAAGGGTGTTCTATTTCGTTGGTCCGATGATTGTGAGGCGAGCTGTCAGAAGCTCAAGACAGGTTTGATTACAGCATCAGTTCTAGTGTTTCCTTCTGGTTCGGGGATGTATACGGTGTATTGCGACGCTTCACGCGTTGGCTTGGCTTGTGTATTGATGCAGGAGACATTAAGGTCTCTTTTAATTTCCCCATACTTTTTTCCCATGAGCATGGTATTGCATATGCTTCACGTTAGCTGAAGCCCCATGAGAAGAATTATCCTGTGCACGATTTGGAGTTGGCCGCGATTGTTCATACTCTTAAGATCTGGAGGCATTACCTTTATGGGGTGTCCTGTGAGGTTTACACCGATCATCGCAGCTTGCAGCATTTGTTCAAGAAAAGGCATCTTAATTTGAGGCAGCGCAGATGGCTTAAGTTACTGAAGGATTATGACATCACTATTGTTTATCATCCGGGCAAGGCGAATGTGATCGCGGATGCCTTGAGCAGAAAGGCGGAGAGTATGGGTAGCTTGGCATTTATTTCAGCAGAGGAGAGACCACTAGCCTTGGACATTCAGTCCTTGGCTAACAGGCTTGTAAGGTTGGATATTTTAGAGCCCAGTCGAGTTCTTGCATGTGTTGTTGCCCAGTCTTCACTATTGGAGCAGATCAAGGCTCGACAGTTTGATGATCCACACTTGGAAGTTCTCAGAGGGACGGTACTACAGGGTGGTGCCAAGGAGGTTTCTATTAGCGAGGATGGTGTTCAGCGACTCCAGGGTCGTCTTTATGTTCCTAATGTCGATGACGTGAGGGAGAGGATTCTAGAGGAGGTGCACAGTTCTTGATATTCCATTCACCCATGTGCTACAAAGATGTATCGCGATCTGAAGCAGCATTTTTGGTGGCGGTGGATGAAGAAAGACATAGTTGAGTATGTAGCTAGATGCCTAAATTGCCAGCAGGTTAAGTATGAGCACCAGAGGCCAGGAGGACTACTCCAGCAGATGACTATACCCGAGTGAAAGTGGGAGCGCATCACTATGAACTTTGTAGTTGGGTTGCCGCTGACCTTGCGGAAGTTTGATACAGTTTGGGTCATTGTAGAAAGATTGACCAAGTCGGCACACTTCATTCCTGTGATGACTACATATCCTTCAGAGAGATTGGCCCAGATTTATATCCAGGAGATAGTTCGGCTACACGGTGTGCCTGTTTCCATCATTTCAGACAGAGGTCCTCAGTTTACTTCACATTTCTGGAGAGCTGTACAGAGTGAGTTGGGAACCCACGTAGAGCTCAGCACAGTATTTTACCCACAGACCGAGGTCAGTCAGAGCGGACAGTTCAGATATTGGAGGACATGCTTAGGGCATGTGTGATTGACTTTGGAGGGTAGTGGGATCGATTCTTTCCTTTGGCTGAGTTTGCTTACAACAACAGCTATCAGTCCAATATCGAGATGGCTCAATTAGAGGCTTTATATGGTCGGCGATGTCGTTCTCCTATCGGGTGGTTTGAGCCCAGCGAGGCTAAGTTATATGGTACTGATTTGTTGAAGGATGCCTTGGACATGGTAAAGTTGATTCAGGAGTGACTCTGCATAGCACAGTCTAGACAGAAGAGTTACACGGATCAGAAGGCGCGGGATGTGTCATTTATGGTAGGCGAGAAGGTTTTCTTGAAAGTCTCGCCGATGAAGGGGATCATGAGATTTGGGAAGAAGAGCAAGTTGAGCCCAAGGTTTATAGGCCCATTTGAGGTGTTGAGGCAGGTTGGGGAGGTTTCTTATGATCTCGCTTTACCTCTTATCCTATCGGGAGTTCATCCGGTCTTCCATGTGTCTATGCTCTGGAGGTATCACGCCGACTTGTCATATGTGTTAGACTTCAGCACGATTCAGTTAGATGAGAGCCTGGGTTTTGAGGAAGAGCCAGTTGCCATTGTTTCTAGGCAGGATCGCCAGTTAATATCCAAGAGGATTTCTACGGTAAAGGTTCAGCGGAGGGGCCAACCAGTCGAGGAGGCGACCTGGAAGTCCGAGGAGGACATGCGGAGCCGATATCCTCACTTATTCAGCACTCCACGTATAATTCTAAACCCGTTTGAGGACGAACGCTTGTTTAAGAGGTGGGGAATGTAGCGACCCGACTAGTCATTTTGCTTTCTAGAACCCCGTTCCCCTAAATAAGACTTCCCATACGTGCTTTTACTACTTTATGACTTGCGGGGATGGTTAGTTCGGGATTGGGAAGGGTTCGGATTGAAATCAGAACACTTGGTTCCTTATGTTGGCCTAAAAGACTAAGTTTGACTTCGGTCAATATTTTTTAGTAAACAACCTCAGAATCTAGATTTGACGGTTCCAATAGGTTCATATGATGATTTCAGACTTAGGCGTATGTTCGGATCGGGGTTTGGATGGCCCGGGAGCGTTTTGGCGCCTAATAGTGAAAGTTGGTTCTTGAAGGTTTTAGAAGTTCTTTAAATTTGGTTGGGAGAGGGTTTTGATGATATCGAGGGACAAACGGAATTCCTACATCGGGAATAGTTCTGTAATGTCATTTCATACTTGAACGCAAAATTTAGGATCATTCCGAGTTGTTTAAGTACGTTTCGGCGCAATGGAAGTAAATTGAAGAACTTGAAGTTCTTAAGTTTGATTCAATTAGGCGTTCTGAGAGTTCGAGCGAGTCCGTTTTATGATTCTAAACTTGTTGGTATGTTCGAACGGTGCCACAACTGATTATCAATCGGACGAGGCTCGGACCAAGTTAGGAGCATGGAGCCACAATTGAAGCTCCCAGATCTTTCATAATCACACCTGTGCTTGGCCAACCGCAGGTGCGGGCTCGCAGGTACGAGCTACGATATGCAGAAGCGAGAGATCAAGGGTAGCCCAGGAACCACAGATGCAGAAGATTGGGCGCACCTGCGCGACCGTAGGTGCGAGAGCATTGGTCGCATGTGCGACTAGGCCCGCAGAAGCAGCCCCTTTTGTCCGTAGATGCGGAGACTGGCCAGGTGAGGGAAAAGCGCACCTGTGAGGCATTTTTCGTAGGTGCGAGACCGCAGATGCAACCAAGGCACCGCAGAGGCGAAAGTCACTTGCCAGTGAGGGTTCATTTAATACAGACTTAGGTCATTGTTATCACATTTTCTCTCTCTTGAGCGATTTGAGAGCTTTGAAGGATGGGATTTTGACCTAGAATTGTGAGGTAAGTAATTTCTACTTAATGTTAGTTTAATACATAGATTATGGGTAGATCTTAACATGAAAATTTGTAAAAATCATGGGTTAGATAAAAAACCTAGATTTTGATTAAAATTGAATTTTACCACAAAAATGATTATGGAACTTAGTAAAAATCATATATTTATGTTCCTGAGGTTATGGGTAACAACTTTCTTCGAAAATTTCTGGAATCCGGGCACGTAGGCCCGGAGGTGAATTTTAGGAATCCTGCATTTAGGGTTGGAAAATTGCTTTAATAGCGGGGGGTATGAACTTTTGAGCGTAAATTGATTTATTTATATAATGTTTGACTAGTTTCGAGTCGTTTGGCACCAAATTTGGAGGTTTGAGCACGTTTTTGAATCGGGAAGTGGGCTTTGAGACGAGGTAAGTTTCCTTTCTAACCTTGTAAGAGGGAAATTTCCCCATAGGCTAATTAACTAATATATGTGACTATTTGTGGGGGGCTACATACGTAGGAAGTGATGAGAGTCTGTGCGTAGCTACTACTTATGCTAAAGTCCGGGTAGTCTAGGACCCCATTATACCGTACTTGAAATAATTGCGCCTTTACTTATCAATTGAATTGCTTAAATCATAATTTCCATAATTACAAGAGGAT